TTATTGCTGCCAATGAACTATATATATAAAATTTTCTTCTTATCCTACAACCTTTAGTTTAATTAATTTTTTTAATTATTATTTTCTAATTAATTTAAAATTTTTTTTTTTTTAATTTTTAAAATTTTATGACAATTAAATCTTATAAAATTCGTATTTTTTATATAATAATTTTTTTTTATTAATTCGAATTTAAGCACAACAACCCAAAAAATCCCATTGCAATATGTGATTACCGTGCTCTGCCACTTAGCCACAAGTGGGTATTTTTAGTACTAATCTATTTCGCGGTCAAACAATGAACATGCAAACATTTCCTGAACGAAGTTCCAAAAATTGAATTCTCAAAAAGTGATGCGCTCAATTATTTTCAATATAAAAGAGAGAGCGTATGAAAAAATACCAGCGCAATTTATTTTAAGTGATACCAATACAAACGCAAAGCGATACGCTTCACGCACACCAACGCACCTAATTGCAGAGACAAAAGAGTCACCCCTGGTGTTACGCAAAAGGCAGCAGCGTCTTCAACTAACTACGCTCCAGTCGACAACAGCTGGGCAACTCCAAAAAGCAATCAGTAATTTCATTGAGTGGATTGTGGAGTGCTCCCATTGTTGTTGAGTAGTATAAACGAATGCTTTCGTTTTGCTTAATTTTGTCAGTTTAAACCTTTTTATTATTTTTATTTTGATAGATGTTTCGTATTTTTTTATATTTAAAAATTTATAATTTAAAATTTTTTTTTTGAATTTTATGAAATTTTTAACAGAAGCAGCAGCTTCAGAAGTGCGATTTTGCACACTCCTCGCTACTGCAAGCACACTGTGCCTTTCTTAAATCTTTACATTTTGCAGCTAATGCAGTTGACTTGCTGCCGCTTTCAGCCACTACACGCACACACGCACATGCGAAGGACAACTGAGGTATGCAACCGTAGGTAGTGCGGCTTAAAATGCGACTTTTACGCACATGCGAAAGCCGCTGAATGCCAACTTTGTCACTCATACGCCACGTTGCACATTTTCATTTGGCTAAAAGAGCGCTAAAGCAATGTCTTTGCGGCAGGCATAACAGCAAGAGGTGTGTATACTTATACCTACATAAGTATACTTATAATGTAATATAACTGTGCTGCTTTATACCGCTAAGCGAAGGCCACATATACAAGTATACACACATATACGCATGGCTGGCTCGCTCACTTGCAGCGCAGTTAAATCATTTCTTGCTTGCTTTTATTAAGTTAAAATAGATGACTTTAAATAAATCTTCATTCATCTACAACTGTCTTCGGAGACGTTGTCGTGCGGCAGCTCAAGGATCTAAATCT